GAGTGCTTGATCTTTGCTTGGGAAACTCTGTTAATTGAATGGGTTTGCCGTTTTTGCCAGCCCCCTTTATCATTATTTATGGGCTTTAAATTGTTTAAAGTTCCCTTGACGTTCAATTTACAAGTTTGGGGACTTTTTTTTGTTCCGCCTTTTGTCCTGGAGAAAGCCCTCGTGTTGGAAGGGCTTTGAAAAGCCAAACATGAGAGGCCCGGAATGAAAGGGAAGCAGGCGAGCCCCTTTTAATTCCCCCTGTTAGTGAATGGCTCTTTTACATAATTGCTGGAGCGATTTCAAAGCCCGAGCCAGGGGCTGACTTCGCTTATGGCCACATGGAGTCTATTTTGGGGCTTTCAGATTTAAAGGGGAAAAAAGGCCTGAATAAAATAGTGTGTTTTTTTTTAAAGGAGGGCTTCAATGCTTTTTGCTACTTGCAAATTGGTGTGTCTGATGGGGGGGGTGTTTCACACAAGCACCCCTTTGTGGAACTGTTCTAGCTTTTTTTGGGGGGGGATGGCTAAGTCCCCAACCGGGCCTAAGTCCCAGGATGGCCCAGGTCTCCAGCTCTGGCCAAGCGCTGGGGCAGGGCCCAGGAGGGGAGAAGAGGTGAGGGCAAGGAGGGGAACTGGACGCTGTGGAGCCAGCCGCGGCTCAAAAAGCTGGAAGGCTGCCTGAGAGAGGGGTGGCCCTGAAGTTGCCTGGGATCCCCAGAAAGTTTCCGGGAAGGGAGAGAAGCAGGCTGGGACCCTGAAATTGCAAACTGTCTTCCTTAGCTGGCTGGTAGGCAATGAGACAAGGAGAGCCTTCCCTTCCTCTCCTTCCTCCCTCAGCCAAGATCTGAGGAGCCTGAGCAGAGCCGGGCTGCTTCCTTGCTCCTCTGGCTTGGCTGTCAGGCAGAAGTTGGAATTCTCCATCCTTAGAGACTTTTGCATTTAAATGCCATTCACCCCCATGGCCTCACAGCTGCAAGCAAACGCAGGCCCGAGCAGCCCTAAGGCTTGGAGACAACTTAATTACCCAAGGTTTTTTCCTGCCGCCCGAAGGGTTGGAGGGTGCTTGAGGCTCCTGTCCCAAGCTGTGGAGGAGGAGGTAGGGGTGGGGGACAGGAGGATGCTAGGGCCTGAATTTGCAAGCCCTTGGCTGGCCCGAGGCAGTTAGATGAGAGTTTAAGAGCCGGAGGCATCCTAGGCCTCCTCCCCAGGAGGGAGTGGGGATGCAGAGGAGAGAAGGGTCTCTTTTGACCAAGTCTCCAGCTGACATCAGAGCAAAACATTCTGCATGCATAGAGTTTGCAGCTCGAACTGGGGCCCCCAAGAGCCCTCCAGTGCAAGTCTCCAAGTCGTCAGTTAGAAAGAGAAAAGGCAGGGTTTCTCACGCCCAAAATGTAAAGGGACTGCCCTGCAAATCGCTATGCATGCATGTTGCTTTGCCGTCGCAGCAGGGTCCCCAAAGACACCCCCCGTGTAGATTTCCAGGTAAGAAGCTCGGAAGAGGGAAAGAAAGGTCTCTCATGCCTAAATTGGAAATCGAAAACCACACAAACCAGTGCGACTGCACATAATAATTCTAGTTGCTAGCATAATATAGCGCTTTAAGGCTTGCAAAACACTTTACGTATTGTGTCTTTTGCATACAGAGCAGTAGCTCTGTAGCCAGAGTAGGGGTCAGCCCCCATCCCTACCCACCACACATAGTAGCAAGTCTCCAGGAAAGCCAGCGAGAAGAGGGAAGGCAGGCTGTATCCCGCCCAAAGAGCAAAGTGGCAGCCGTGCCCAGCGCTCTACCCACACATCCGTGGCTTTGATGTAGGGCAGCGGCCCTTCTGCACCCTCGCCAGGTACCAGGTACACAGGTAGAGGAGACAGCCAGAAGGCTAAGCGCTGCACCTGTGGCCCGTAAATCTGCATACAGGCAGAAGCTATACTGGACAAGGGTTTGGTTTGGTTTTTGCAAATCAGTTGCGGTCCGAGGCTCGAATGTAGGAGGCCGCCAGCCAGCGTCCGGGGCCCGGAGCTGGCCTTGTTAATCACCGCCCAAACACAAAGATATTTTATGGCACCGACCATCGTTTTCTAAGCAGTTAAACATTAGATGAGGAAATATTGCCACGGTGTCGGCGAGGAAGAGGCCCCCTAATAAATAAAGTCCCCATTGATGACTCTGGAAGCCCTCGGAACTCACTAATAAAAGGAGTCAATACTTTGCAGGGCGATTTATAGGAGCGAACAACCCGCAGTCAAATCCCGCCGCCGTTGGGCCAATGTAGTTGTTACTGGGGACCCTGTAATGCAGAACGAGCACCCCAGATCCCAGTAGCTACCTTCCTCTCCTCAAAGCCCTTGAAGAGTACCCCGGGAGCCCAAAGTTCACGGAACAATAGAGACGCCTGGATATTGGGGGGCTGGGAATCTACAGTGAAAATGGCTAAGCTTGGCTGGGTGCCTTCCTTAATTGCGCTCTGGGCAGGTAGGAGGCCAGTGCACTCCAGGAGAGGGCGGGGTGAGCGAGGGACATGGGGGAAATTCAACTAAATCCAAGGGAAAGTCCAAGAACTCCGCTGCCTTCCCGCTTTAATCCAAAAGAACCAAATCCGGGCTCCAATTTAGTCTGAACATGGTCCAGCCCTTGGCCTCGGATTTGAAAATGCTCCTCTCGGTGAAGGGGGACAAGTCCTTATCTCCCTCCTTATGAAAAGTAATATCTTTATTATCTCCCACCCTGCTGATCAGCCCCTCCCTGGTGCTGAGACAGGGTGCCCAGGCAACGTTATAATGGAGCAATTTCTGCCGGATCCCAGGCGTTTTGGCGGCCCTCAGAATCTGAAGCCGACACTACGTCTGTATTCCGTAAGGAGCTTGGTGGCTAGGGAAAGGAGACGAGAGAAGTGGCTCGGTGGCGTTGACTTCAATTTGGCAGCAAGCTCCGAGGTCCTAAGAGCAGCTCTCTGGCGCATCACCCGGTCTCCAGGGCTGGCTGGGAAGATTCCCCAGCCTGCTTCTTTGTGGAGAACAGTGTTTGGCGAGCAGAGACTGCCTCCCCTCTTACCTTCCCCACCCTTCCAAAGGACCCCAGCTTTTGAGCAGAGGAGGAGGAGGAAAAGAAAGAGTGAGTGAGAGAGACAGAGAAAAGAAGGAAGAGAGAGAGAGAGAGAGAGAGAGAGAGAGAGAGAGAGAGAGAAAGAAAGAAAGAAAGAAAGAAAGAAAGAAAGAAAGAAAGAAAGAAAGAAAGAAAGAAAGAAAGAAAGAAAGAGAGAAAGAAAGAAAGAGAAAAAAGAGGTTTTCAAAGACCGGGATCAATGAGTTCATGAATATCGATTTGTCTTTATCTTCCCATTACATGTGCGTGTAAAGGACACATAATCCGCACCCCCACCCACCCCCATCTCAATCTGCTCTGTGTGTTTACTCTCTCCCTTACTGAAAAATTGCCGGACGCCTGCAGGGAGGGGGGTGGAGGTGGGAGGAGAAAGGGAGGGTGTTCAGACTAGCAGACCCGGGAAGTTCGAAGCGGCTCTTGGACACATCTCGGGAGGCCTCTATCATTCCCACATAACTCATCATTAGGGGCTTCAGTTTTTCTTCCGTTTCCATGAAATGGTGCAATTTAAAAGGGAGAAGAGGAAGGAGAGACAGAGGAAAGGGAGAGGGAGAGGGAGAGGGAGAGAGAGAGAGAGAGAGAGAGAGAGAGAGAGAGAGAGAGAGAGAGAGAGAGAGAGAGAGAGAGAGAGAGAGGTGAGATTTTTGCTTTAGAGGTGAAATTGTTGGCTCATGGAATACCTACCCCCCCAGTTTGTGATGGCCTCAAATTTCGGGAAGGGGAGTGGGGTCGTCCTGAAATGAAATCATTATAAAACGCCTCTTTCTTGCAAGAGAATGGCGGCCAGGGGCCCCGAGATCCCACCCCACGGCTGTCGCTGCTTCCCTTTCTCCAAGAGGCTTCGCCTTCGTAAGCGAACCTTTCTGCCTCACGGCCAGGGCTTAATTAGCGCCTATTTACCAAACGGGCGCGGATTTGCGCAAACACCATAAAGCTTTCATCAGCAACCCGCGCTCAGGTTGGAGCGTCTGCAGAGGGGGCTGCAGCACCCCCTCCTTCCTCCCCCCAGGACGAAGCTGAGTGATGACTCCCTTTATCTTCATAATCATTGCGGCTGGTATGGGGGGGGAGCTGTTGTAGCAAAGAGTGCAAATGGTGAGGGGGGGAGTGATTTTCAAAGGAAGGGAAATCAAGGGATCGAGTGGATCGCTCTCTGGGAGAGCGAGACTTGGGGTAGGCAAAGCCACGGACCCCCTTCCTGCACACCTCAGGCAAGGCAGAAGAGAAAACGAGCCAGGCACTGGTGCATCGTGGAAGAGGCTGCACAGATCTATGCTTGGAATGAATGTAAGCAGAAAATATATGTAGATAGAGATGCACAGCGTTCGCAAGCAGTGCATACAGAGGGCAAGTGTGCAGAACCTACGGACTGTCTCCTCTTCTCTTGGTGTTGCGACTTCCTGTAACTAAACGAGGGCCCAGATGGGAAGACAAGGTCTCCTGAGGTCCAAGCAACCTTTTCCCAATTGGTGAATCCTTCACATGAGCACAGAGGAAATGGGCTAATCAAGGCATCGGGGCGCTCGCCCCCTATCTGTGCGGGGTGCGGGGAGCTTTTCTGTTGCAAAGATTTTCTTTTTCAACACCCTCGACTCTGACTGGAGGCGTGCGTTTGGGATGCGCTGTGTGGAACGAGTGAGCGCTTGTGTGCGGGCTCCAGTTTTCGGGAGCAGGCCTGCCTTTGCAAGTGTTCTTGGAGCTGGCTGCAAGAGTTTGCAGGAACCCAGGATGCGCCGCTGTTTTCCTTCCCTCCTCTGGTTTGATTTCTCTCACTTTGGGTCTCTGGCTCTGCCTTTGCCCAGAGCAGTGTTTGTAGGGGCGGGAGGGGAGAGAGAGCGCGAGATGAGGGCGGGCTAGGGGCGGAGCCAGGCTCGGCCTCCCGCCCCCTCTCAGCCCGTCTGACCAATGGGGAGCGGAGCAGGCACCCACGTGAGACAAACCGAGTTCTCGAGCTGGCAAAATGTGAATGAGGAGGCAGAGCGCGATTTAAAGGTGCTGGCGGCACCCGGGCGGGAGGGAGGCAGAGGGGCGTCGGCGGGCTGGGCTCGGCGCGCAAGCAGGCGGCCAGACTGGGCAGGGCAGGGCAGGACCACACCGCGCCGCCCCGCACCGGGCCCGTCGGAGCAGGCCACGCAGGGCGCGTAGCAGCAGCAGCAGCAGGGGCGGCAGCGGTGGTGGCCGCAGCAGCAGCAACAGAGGCCGTCCAGGGCCAGGGCCAGCGCCAGGGAACGGCGCCGCGGGAGGCTCTCCTCGAGCCCGCTGGCCAGCCGCACGCCCAGGGCACGGGGAGTCCCGCGGGCAGAGCCAGGCTGCCCTCTCCTCCCACCCCTACCCGTCCGTCTATGCCTTTCGGGCGCCCAGAGGAGCCGAGAACGACCGCTGCCCCCGCGCCTCCCTGCGCTGTCCTGCTTGCTCAGGCCGCCCTCCCATGGCTCAGCCCGGGTGCTGACTGTCTGAAGGGCGCTGCGGGCGAGTCTTTACCTTCCCGCTGCTGCCCGCGCCGTTCACCCGCGCCAGGGCTGCTGCCCCTGCCGCCGCAGCTCCTGCTGCTGCTACCGCCGCCGCTGGCCTCGGCGCGGCGGGAAGAGGCTGCGGGCGGGGAGGGTCCCCGGCTGGGTCGGCCGGTCGCTGGCGGGCGCTTCTCGGAGGCGGCCTGCGGCTCCGCCGGCTGCTTCTCTTCCACTCCATCTCCATTCCCGGGAGCGTATATGAGCGCTGCCTTTCCGCCCTCCCTGATGATGATGCAGCGGCCCCTGGGTAGTAGCACTGCCTTCAGCATCGACTCGCTGATCGGCAGCCCTCCCCAGCCCAGTCCGGGACACTTCGTGTACACCGGCTACCCCATGTTCATGCCTTACCGGCCGGTGGTGCTACCCCCTCCGCCCCCGCCGCCCCCCACGCTCCCGCAGGCCTCTCTGCAGCCGGCCTTGCCGCCCGCACACCCCCACCATCAAATCCCCAGCCTGCCCACCGGCTTCTGCTCCAGCCTGGCACAGGGTATGGCCCTTACCTCCACCCTCATGGCCACTCTGCCCAGCAGCTTCTCGGCTTCACCCCAGCACCAGGAAGCGGCCCGCAAGTTTGCGCCGCAGGCCCTGCAGGGCAACTTCGACAAGGCAGACGGCATCCCAGCGGAGTCGGAGGATGGTAAAGCTTTCCTGGCCAAGGAAACCTCGCTGTTGTCATTCTCGGCCTCCGAGGCGGTGCAGGCTTCCCTCGGTGAGTCGTCCCACTCCTCTCCTTTTCCCTAAGTGGACATCAGAGGCTCGGAACCCAAGAGGGACGGGCACTGGTCTGGGCTGGGGGACCGAGGAGGGAGGGGGATAGGATCATGGCAGGAGGTGGGCAGAACGGGGAGGAGGGGGGCAGCCTTGGAAGCCTCAGGATCGGCCAAGTTCCCAGTCACACAGTTCATAGGGCTCTGAAATGACCGAAGAAACACCAAGGCAGAGTTGGCGAGCAGCCCCTTAGCAAGCCCCTCAGACAGTCCTTGCCCTTCGTCTCCTACTTCCCACCCTATCTCAATCCACTAGCTGGGATGCCTGCCTTTTCCCTCTCCATCGGCGGGCCTGAGCCGCCAGACCCAGGGAAGGAACTCCGAGAAGCCAAGCAGAGCTGGCATGGTGTAGGGGGAAAAACCTGAGGCTCAGAGTGGGCAACTTGAGACCATACATTACTGGGGAAGGGGAGCACCCCAGCCGCCCTAGGGAGCCAGGAATGGCCTGGGGAAGGCTGGCATCACAGCCTGCCACTTTGGGAGCTCAGTTCAGACTTGCGCTAGTCCCCACAGTGTGCAAGGGGTCAGAAGAGAGAGGGAGGCGAGCCCCAGACATGTTAGGGTGCTGGCGCTGGCCCTGGTTCCAGGGCTCCCGCACAGCCCTGGCAATTCCCAGTAGTGTCTTCCTGGGATCTGCTACCTGGAGAACTGCCTGGGGGGTACGGTGCGGGGGAGGCAGCCAGGATAACGAGGTGAATTGGCTGGCTGGGCTGCTAGCTCCCAACTTCTCCCAAGGCATTAGTCACATCTGTCTGACCAGAGCATCCAATAACATTCCTCAACAAGGAAAGAAGTAACCCTTCTCTGGCCTCCTGGAAGGGAGAAGCCGTTCATTCCCCACCTCCAGTCCCACTGTGAGGGGGATGTGGGGATTCAGGGGCAGGTGGACTTGGCACCCTCCCAACCCGATGACAAAGAAGGCAAACCCCAGGCTCCTCGGTTCAGCGAAGGCCAGGGCGGTGGCTGGGTTTACACAAACCTCCAAAGGAAAGGAGGTTTACTTGGTGGGGAGAGGGGAGTGCAGGTAAAGGACAAAATAGGAACTTCACCTGAAAGATATCTGGAAGCAGTGGAGGGTCAGAGACAGGCTAAACTATGGGTCGGAGCAATCAAAGCCCATCCTATCCCACTGTCTCTGGGCTTGTCCCACAGTCTTCCCTTATGTATGTCCTTCCAAAAAAGCACCTAGCCAAAGGCGACCCAGCCAGCCACACATACATCCCCCAAACACCCAGGCAGTCACCCTTCTGCCCAGGCTAGGTAATTAGGTGAGATAACTGCTGGAAAGAAAAGTCCTCCTGAAGACAGAGTCAAAATCCCTTACAGGGGTGACCCGGGAAATGTAACAAATTGCCTGTCTGCTTTGGTTTCAGTGGGGGCCATGAGAGGCCAGGGGAAGGACGAGGCCAAAGGGGAAGACGACTCCAAAGGCAAAGACGAGAGCTTCTCCATGGACAGCGACCTGGACTACAGCTCCGACGACAACATCCCCAGCCAAGCAGCTCACAAGGAGGAAGACTTGGCCACGGCCCTGGAGGAGAATCCCCAGAGCAGCAGCAGCAGCAGCAGCAGCAGCAGCAGCAGCAGCAGCAGCAGCAGCAGCAGCTCGGGCAGCACTACTTCCACCGGCAAAAACCGACGCAGGCGGACGGCCTTCACCAGCGAGCAGCTTCTGGAGCTCGAGAAGGAATTCCACTGTAAGAAGTATCTGTCCCTGACAGAGAGGTCACAGATTGCCCACGCACTCAAACTTAGTGAGGTTCAAGTGAAAATTTGGTTCCAAAACCGCAGAGCCAAATGGAAACGGGTCAAAGCCGGCAACGCCAACTCCAAGACCGGGGAGCCCTCTCGGAACCCCAAGATCGTCGTCCCCATTCCGGTGCACGTCAGTCGCTTTGCCATCAGAAGTCAACACCAGCAGCTGGAGCAAGCCAGGCCCTGAGTGGCCAAGGGCCCCCTCCTCAACTTCCCCAGGCCCGACCCCAGCAGGTGCCAGGAAAGGCAAGACCATCCCCACCTCCCACCAACACACACACACACACACACACACACACACACACACACACACACACACACACACACCACACCGGGACAAAGGAGGAGCCGAAGAAAAGCAGAGTCCTATCCGACTCTCAGAACTGTTTGAAAAACAAAACGTTTGACAAAACAAAAAAAACAAAGAAGTGAATGTTGGACAGAGCAAGCAGATTGAGAATATATTAATTTCAGACAATGCTGAAAAACTATTTTCGGATGAGGGTAACATCGGGATCTGGACAGGGCACTAAGTATTATTCTGTCTGACTTTGTATATAGTGAATCTATCTATACTGAATCTCAGCTGCAGGATTTTTTTTTTTTGACTAATGGGACCAACTCCCTCCAGTTCATTAAGGTTTTACATTCCAGAAGAAAACAAGATAAGAACCAAGCCGATAACCTGCGGTATGCACAAGCCAACCTTTTTATTTTGTATATTTTTGTTTGTTTCTTGCTTTTCCAAAGGTAAAAGGAAACAAAAGTGTTTGGGTTTTCCCCTTTATTTTTGGGCTCTCCAAGTTGGCCGAGGGGCAGACATTTTCAGGCTGCCCAAGTGAACCTTTTTTTTTTTTTTTTGGTTGTTTGTTTTGTTTTCCTGGCTTGGCATTCTCTCTCTGAGTTGCCTATTCTTAACTAAGCCATGTTTGAAAGCACGTCGGTCTCTATTGTGTTTAATTTATTTCAATGTAGCTTATCTCCTTATAAGTTATGGAATTTAAACAAACTCAGTCTTGTGAATAATAAAAAGAAAAGAAAAAAAAAGAATATAATCCAGGACCTGATGAGTCTATCCGGAATCTGAATCTTTGCTTGGCCCTGGGGAACCCAACTTAGCCCCTACAGGTTTCTCCTGGGATTTATCACTGGGTAATGTATCCTGAAGGTGCAGGTTGGGAAAGGAGGGTTTAAGGAGCTGCTTTTAATTGATTACATTATCCATTTAGAAAAAGATAGATTTTCTTTTAGGAACCTTCATGTCTCAGTTGGGATAGGGTTGAACAGCAAAGCACATTGGAAAACTCTGGATGGAGGAGAGGGGAGAAGGAAGGAAATGGGATGCCATATCTATCAGCTCCAACTGCTGCCTCCTTTAGCCCTAAAACTGGAGCTCTGCTTAGAATCCATAAACTCCCCCATTCTTTGCACTGAAGCAGAACGGGAACCCCTACAGTCTGGACTTCAAGCAGTTGCCAACCCAACAGCAAAGGATATCCCCAAGCGCCTAATTTTGGTAGGGGGCTGAGGTCCTGTTGGTGTAGGAGGCAATGCCTTCCACCAGTTCCTCAGCCATCCTTTGCTAGGTGCCTACCTTTTTTTCTCCCTGTGTAATGGATTCAGCAAAGTTGTAGGGGGAGGGTTTGGCAGCCTTTAAATGATGATGATTTGGAAAATGTTTAACCCCTTGGGCCGGTCCCCAAGCTCTCAGCCCTGGCAGATGCAGGCTATAAACGCCAGCTGATTATTTCCTGCACTTCCCCGCTCCAGCCCTCCCCCTCTGGGAGTGGGGCGTCTGGGGCTTGTCCTATGACATATGCACGGAAGGCCCTGACTAGGTTTGGACAGGGCATTGCATGAAGGTGTAGGGGGGAGGCCAGGCTTTTTATGCCAGATCTTGGAAAGATGCCTTTGACTTTCTCTCCTTATGTTTGCCTTGAGAGATTCCTGTAATGAACTGTTTTCTCTATCTCTTTCACTTCTCTCCATCCCCCAGTTATATTGCCTCCTTCTTTCCCCTTTCACTCTGGCCAGTTTGTTATCTGATGAATAGTTTAGAGGGACAAGCACTAGTTATTCAGTGCAAGGGGCAGAAAACATTAAATTGTTCGTCAGAAGCCAAGGTCCAAGTAGTGCTGCTACGGAACCCAGGTTCCTGGACGAGGTTTTAAAACCGTGCAAGGCTGTGTTTGTGTGTCTGACCCTCATTAGGCACTGCCTATGTGTACAGACAAAATTCAGCCGGAGAATAACCGATGAAAAGCGCCCCCCCCCTCCACCCACCCAATAACTAGCTAGCATCTAGAATAGGATTTTTCAAAAACCGGGAGAAAACTCCATAACTGGTTCCGAAATTCGAATGTTTAAGCACAGGGGTTGAGTAAGGCATTGCACAGACAGCAGGCAGTTATCGGTCTGTTTCTCTAAGCACCGGCCCCAGGATAGAACTGAAATGTACGTAGCCTGGACAGACACTGACATTGACATAATTTACATCAGTTACATTTTTTTTTTTTAAACAAGGCTGGGGGCTAGGAGCCGAGCTGCCTTTCAGTGATGAAGAAATGAGGCTTTGTAGACAGACTGGCTTCTAGTTTTACTCAAAAAACATCTAATGTTCCCAGCTCCAAGAGTAAACTGAGCATCGAAGTACTGTCTGCTCAAAATTGATTTTTTTCTTTTTACACAATGGGCCATAATATTTATAGTGACTAGTAAACGACCCAGGCATGTATTGTTTTAAAGGGTGATAAAATATAGACACGAATTCTAACACACACCCCCCATTTCCCAATTTGAACTGAAACCCAGTCTGGGGGAACGAGTGGGACAGCTGGGCTTGCTTCCTCTCCCCTCCACCGCCCGCAAGCTTCTCCATTCTCCTTGCAGCGACGAAAGAAGGGTGCAAACAATCCTGGTCTCAGAATGACTTTTCAGAAAGCTCCCCGCGTCTCAGAGCTGATGACAAGTACACGACCGTGGCTTTCCAGCCAGACCCACCTGCACGCCCTCACAAAGGCGCGTGGAGAAGCAAGCGCTCGCGTGGATTTGGTTGGTGGCAAAGATTTGCATGCTTCTCTCCCCCTTACCCTTTTACAAAGAAGAGCAGGATTTTCGATTGTAAACTCGCTGGCTTAGGCTCGTGCGCTGCCCTGCACTGGGAATTCGGGCTCTCCTTCTGTACTGTGGCTCCAGGTTACGCAGGCCACTTCGGTCACTTGGGCAGATCAGGTTCAGTGAGGGAGGTGAGCCAGAGTGGGCTGGGAATTTTCGACAACGTGAGCTGGATAGCAAAGCCAGGTGTAGCCTAAGTGGCAATACCTCCCGTCAAGGGATTTCTGCCCTACCCACGGTCCGGTTTGATAAAGCGTCCCGCGCTCCCGTGACAACAGAGCACAACCGCTACTCAATCTACAGAGGCGGGAACGGCGCCTGAGTCGAGGGGAACCAGATACCTCCTTAACTCGCCTGAGGACAGGTGCAAAGGCCCCTCAGATTCCAACCTAGTTTCCCAGGGTTCGAGTTTCTGGACTATCCTTCCCATTCCCCCGGGGAGCCAAGCAAGTTTCTAACTTACTGTATGTTTGCATAAACTTGTGGGCCGGGCAAGATGGCTACGGGGAAGAGCCAGGAAACATTTCTTCGTGATTTTTACAGCCCTCCGAGTTTAGTGACTTGAAGGGACACTCACAGCGCCAGAGCCAAAAAAAAAAAAGGGGGGGGCGGACAGAGGCCTTCAGCTCTTGTTTATTCTCTGTAGCACAGAGAGGGACTCCTTTCTCTATCTAGGGAAGACAGGCAGCGGCCATAAGTCGAAAGTCAAGGGACTACCCAGAGTACCGAGATCCTTCCTCACCCTGTCTACCCCCAAGTGGGAAAGGAAATCTAGCTGTCATCCTCCCACCAGGAATTGTGGGGGGGTAGAGATCCCGGAGCGCTGCAATGGAACCCAACTATCTCCCAAATACTCACCGATGGTATTTGCTAATTAGGTTTTTTTCCCCTCTCTTTCTACCTCCCCCACGCCCTCCCCGTCCCTCAGAGAGAGGGAGACAGAATGATCACCAAGAGAGGCCCGAAGTGCCCAGAAGTGGAGACCACTGAGCCAGGAAAAGGAGGAAGGGAGAAGATAAACAAGGGAGAGGGCTTGATGGCTGTCATCATCACCATCATCACGGCTTTCATTTGGCTGCCTAATGAGTCAGATCACAGGCAGAGAGAAAAATTGTCAATCGCCCAGGCTCTAATGAATTTTTTTGCAAATTGTAATCAAGCCAGGCCGTCTCAGCTGGCTGATTAATGAGACCCACGAGGCCTGGCCAGCACCTCAGCTTTTTATTCCGTCCCGTCCTCCCTGCACTAAATTAACAGCAACTTGTCTGAGCTTCAAATTAACTCCCAATGATTAATTCTGATGGGGGGGCCTGAAGAATAGCTCCGTCTAATAGGCACTGGCCTGCGAGGCGGCTGGAAATTAATACACTTCCCCTTTGGCTGCCGGCTTTAATCCAAGGTTGGGTTTTGACATCACTATATTTGTTGTTACAATAAATTCCACTTACATCTGCAGATCAAATCATTACAATGCTAGGGTAACAACACGGACCTGGGCCCAAGGAGTCGACCTGGTAGTTAGGCTGAGGGTCCACCCCCAAGCCCAGCTCTACAGGCCTCCAGCCGTTCCTGGAGGCCCCCAACCAGCATCTGCCCCCGTGCCTGACCCCCCCTCCCCCTCACACAAGTAGAGCCTCCGCCCCACCTCCATCTCCTCACCACCCCCAACCCCAGCCAGAGGGGGCAATGAGCCTCTAGCACATTGTTCTCTCTGCCGGGGACCTTAGGAAGGAGGGACCCTTGCACACGTGGTCTCCTCCCCTGCTGCTGCCAGACCTTCCCCACTCCCTCTCCACCCTCCAAGGGAAACAGATTCCTCTCTAGGTCCGGAAAGAGTTCTCTTTGCCCACCTAGATCCCTCAGAACCTTCCTTCCTTCCTTCCTTCCTTCCTTCCTTCCTTCCTTCCTTCCTTCCTTCCTTCCTTCCTTCCTTCCTTCCTTCCTTCCTTCCTTCCTTCTCTTCCACTCTTCCTTTCGGGCCTGTCTGTTTCTTAAAATACGGCCACTTAGCCCTTACAGGAACTCGAGGATTTTTGGAGCACAGGTGACAATGGTGTCCTGGAGTTTTGGAAAAGAAAAGCCGGTTGAAACTGACCACCCCATTCTCCCGCTCCACGCCCCGCAACGGAGTCACCCGGGGCTTGGTTTCTAATGGATCCCATCCGGTATAGAACTCTGTGAAACTCACATAAAGGGGTGTGTATGTGGTGTGTGTGTGTGTGTTGTGTGTGTGTGTGTGTGTGTGTGAGAGAGAGAGAGAGAGAGAGAGAGAGAGAGAGACAGAGAGAGAGAGAGAGAGAGACAGAGAGAGAGACAGACAGACAGAGAGAGACAGAGACAGAGACACGACAGAGTCATTCGTATTCAAAGCAGAAAGAAAGTTCACGAGGCCATCTGACTTGGGTTCTTCACACACACACACACACTTATAAAACCAAAAATTCTCCTTGGGGATTGGCAAGGAGCAAGTGGGCTCCAGATTGCCTCTTGGCAGTCACCTGGCCAGTGCCTGATGCTTTTTTTGACCTTCTTCTCTGAGGACGCTGCAAGGACCTGACTGTCTAGAAGTTTTCCATCTAGAGTTTTGCTGGACACGCATTATGAGCTGCTGCACAGTCTCCTCCCCACCCACTCCAGCACCTTCGGTTCAGCAGTCTGGGCAAGGCAGGGCTGAAGTCTGTCCACTTTGCTCCTTTTTCTAACCCTCGGACAAGAGTAGACGTAGCTGTCAATTTCCAGCCACCCAATGAGGAGGAGAGTCACCCCCACCTCCACCTCCACCCCCGCTTGCGTTTTCTGTATGGCCAGGCACGGGCCAGGGGAA